GGCCTGGCGCGTCGGCTGGTCGGTCCCGTTAAAACACCCGTGGCACGCTGCTCCCTCACGGAGGAGGAGAGGCCTCGTGCTGCGTCCCGTGTGTGGGACGGCGGGCCACCGCCGCGAACGGGTCTCCAAACGCCTGGCCTCCCGCGGCGGTTGTGGGTCTGCCGTGCTGGTGCTCGATGAGGTGCTGAGGAGAACACCTGCACGGGCAGGAAGGGAGGCAAAGTCACTTCGAAGCGACTCCCTCACACCACAAGGTAGCGAGATTTTGCGGGCACTGAGGGTCCCGGCGGTCCCTCGCCTGCAGCCTGCCTGCCGCGGCGGGAGCCTTGGTGCCCCGTGATGGTATGAGCAGGAATTCGCCTTATATTCTGCCAAATATCCGCAGCTCTGCACGTCACACTGACCCTAAAACACTAACAGTGACCTTCGTTTTCTGATTAATACCCAAACACCTAGTCGTTCGTCAAGTGCCGTGGTATCGGCACAGCTGCTCCCACAAGTTCGGTATTTTATTACACCATCAAGGGGGCAATAGAAGTGACCTGATTCTTCGCGCAGATGGAGCCACTTTCAGTGTCCGGTAAGGGATGGATGGGGTCTGGGACCAGGGCTTTGTAGATGCTTTATCTCAGGGTACGGGACACAGTAGACAAAGGAGGAAGGTGAGGAAGAGGAGAGCCCTGGGCAAAGCCATGTGGTTCAGATCCATGTGCTGACTTCTCCACGTGCCAGCGGTGGCTAGTTTTGCGTTTAGTTTTGCTGTGCAACATCGGTGAGAGCAATGGTCTCTGCCTGCACTCACCAGGAAGGCTGCTGTGCTCGGACACTTTCCTACGGTAGCTTCTTGCACCATTTTGGTTTATTCCTCACTTTTAACTTGTTTATGGATATTCAGTAACCACAGGCTACAGTGCAAGAGCCCCATGTTTGATACATAGCATCTGTCTGATACTGTGCTGACACCCCGCTCTCAGGAATTAAAGGGATCAGAGAGGTCCCAGGGACCGGGCAAATCTCATTCTGCAAACAGGTTGCTGCCTCCAAAATCTGCTGTGCTCCTTTCCCCTCATCTTTAGCAAGGTGCTGGCTGAGCACCTTCTTCACAGCTTTTGGGCCACTCCACGGTACAGATGAGGCACAGGTAATGAAGTAAGAGTGGAAGGTGAGAGCAGCAGCCGCTTCGTGCCACAGCTGATCATTTGCAGTGGGAGGGTTTTGTTAAATTCTTATGACAGGGCAGTGAAGAGACAAAGAAAAGTGTTTTTTTCTCTGCCACAGCACCTGTAAATCTCAGGCTGAAGATTTGTTTCAAGTGGCAGACAGCCTAATAAATCTGGACGGTCACAGCCTGGTAGCTGATCTCAGCTTTTGCTACTGCAAGGGAATTGCTTGCTGTGTTATAGATAAGAGGGATCCCATTACGGATGGGATCTAAGCTTGTGTGAGGGCAGAGAAAGGTCCTGGGCATCCACATCCCAGCTGCTGCCACTGCTTGACTTTCAGAGGCAAATGAGCTATCCTAAAACCTGTGTTTTGAATCACTGGCCAGCACAGGCAGGGAAGACCTGTGAAGGAGAGGAAAGAGGGAAGGAGAGAGTAAATAATTCACCTCCCAGTGCTGCCCCAGATGAGGTAAGCAAACGTGGTGTTTTGAAGGAAGCATTACTGCAATTTGTACTCCAAAAGTCGATACTGTGTTTTGGTAGTCTGGCTTGTGCCTTTGCTGGCATTAAGATGCTGTACAGATGGAAGGGAGACTGTAAGGCAGGATTATTAGAGCAGTACTCTAGTCAGATGTTTAACATTTGTTTGACAAGGAGATTGCCACTCTCCTTTTGGAGAAGGACCTTACGCTGTGTTACTCCTGTTCTGGGTGCAGCATTGCCCGAAGGCTGCAAGGGTCCAGCGCACAGCGATGCCTCCCAGATGCAGCGCGAGAAGCCTCAGCAGCAGAGCACGTGTGCCTCGTCATATGTCGGATGCAGATCCCCACAGGCACACCGGCAGCCTTGCCGTCCTGCTCATCAACCAGATTTTAAGAGGTTGGTTATGACCTGTATGGCACTGACTGGACTTGAGCTTTTAAAAGATACAGGTCAGAATGTCACATCCTGGTAGCCAGAGTTTAACACCAGCAAACAAAGAACATGGATAAAACACAAGTTCTGTACCCTCGTACCTGTCCCACACACTTGACTCGCTAGCAGTGCTCTGTCAGCCTCTCTTCCTCATGCTTTCAAAGTCTCCTGCCAGCAGGTACTGAATCCGTTTGGCCTGGCAGTCTGGTAGTCAAGTTCATCTAAGGGCAAAACAGCAAAGAGCGCGTTCTCAGCCCACCTTTTCCCTGGCTGTGGAAGAAGGCAGTGTCCATTCCTCCAGGGAAGGGATACAGCCTTGCAAGGCGGCACTGTTGCCTGTGACCAGTGACTTGTATTAGGGAGGCTTATTAGATGGCAGTAGTGCCCAGGAACCCAAGCCGCAGCACTCTGTCCAGCAGAGGATATTGCTTTCTGCTCCTGTGCATCGCAGGTGCTGTAGTCTCGGACTGCTTCCTGACATATGGTCTGGTTTTCCCACCTTTGCCTCAAAGAAGCTCACAGGTGATGCCTGCCGGACTGACAGCCACCTTGCTCTCGCTCAGGGAGAGTGGGAATCCAGCTCTGCATCTTTGCTAAATTACTACTTTTCATCTTTTGTAGTAGGGGAAATAACAGCTAACAGTGATACACCCACATGCTTGTCTGGCTGCAAACACACACCAAGTGATCCCTTAGATATATTGTGCAGAGCAAACCAAGAGCTAATATGTTGAAGTACACTTTTATCTGTAATCTGTTCTAGTGCAGTTGCCCAAAGGAAGAGAGAATAACAGAATAAAATAAGTAGATTTTTCTAGTTAACATAAATCTAAGCCTACTTCATTATATAACAAGTCAAATTTTTCTTCTGAAGTCTGCAGTTTGATTTGGGGGCAGGGAGGCACTAATAAACTCATTAGTATTACTAGATTCTGTAAGTTGGTATAAAGACTTGTGATGTTCTACATTAACCTATTTCTTTTTTCTGTGATGTCTTTGGGTTCATTGCACCTCTTTGAGCTAAGCCTGCGGTGAGCACGGCAGGCTGGCAGTGGGTGTTGAAACCACAGTCTGAGCCCAGTGGTTGCAATGGGTCTTTACAGTCTCCCCTGCAGAAGCTGTCCCATCTGTATTTTGGCTGAAAACTAAATGTTTTAAAAACCAGGGCTCACGCCAAATGCCTCACCCTGACTTTTGCTTTCCCATACTGCTGCCAACTGGGTTTGAACAGCAGAGCTTCACTCACCAAATCTCCCCTGGGGCCTCAAGAAATAGAGCCACCCATTTTCCACTCATTTCCCGCACTGGTATCACCCATGGCTCCTACTCACTGCCTCTTTCTTTTCCAAGCAGCCAGAGTTTGGGCAGCATGGAGCTTTTAAGAGCTCCATTAATCGGTACAGGTTGTTTTTACAGGTTGCTCTGCTTGAAGCAAAAGCACCTCGCCATGCCTGGTGACCAGCTGTCCCCAGCCAAAGTGACACCCCTGCTCGGGTTGGGCTCTGGCTTCATGTGCTGGCAGGGCATCCACCGGTGGTACAGAAATGCTTTCCTTCTCTTTGAAACAGCCCAAACTTCCTGAGCCCTTGTCTGCAGAAGACATAATTTAATAGGGTTTTGTGGTGAGGGCTGAGTTTGGCGGGGGGGGGGAAGTCTTTTTCATTGCCAGCCGGCTCTCCAAGATCCTTCTGAAATAATCGCTGACTGCTGCCAGGATTGTTTTTGTTGTAATATTAATGATCTCTCTGGGCAGCTTGAGTTTCATATGCATGTCTTTTTAATTATTCAGTTAAAATAGCCAAGGTATAGCTGCAAAACACTTATGCTGTGTTTTGGTTTGGATTTAGAAAAGGGGGTAATGAAAACTTTAATGACATACAAAGGTACAAATACAGAGGAAATGCAAAACATCCAGAATCTGAACTACTACTACTACTGTGCTATACAGAAGTACATATATCTAAGTCCCCATTAAGTGCAATTCCAGCAGTTCCCCAGAATTTACCTTGCACTTTCTGGTAAACAAAGCCACCTTCAGAGGTGACACATACCCTGAGACTGCCCCGAATGATGTAAATAACTCTGGGTTCCTTGCTTTCACAAAAAAAAAAAAAAAATTTATTGTTTTGTGTGAAACCTCCTGCTTTCTGCAGGTGGAAATACTCAGGCTGGCAGCTGAGTATAGCTGTCTCCTACTCAGTTGACAGACCTACAGTCTCACAATTCTTTAGTTGTTTTTAATTTTATTACACTTTTTTACAAGCTTTTTGGACAACTGACAACCCTTATAATGTCATGGGGGGGGTTACACACCTTTATAGTCAGATCTTTCATGTAAAACTCTCAGTAGCAGAACAGGGTTGGGAACCAGCTACAGATTGCTTGCCATAGCCTAGTGCAGTGGCTCCCAGTCTTCGCCCATTTAAGTGCTCTCCCATTTACAGCACCCTCTGATCAGAAGAAGTAAGATTTGCAGTACATACTGGTGTTACCTGGTTGGCGTCTCAGTTCATATTTGATTAATAATAGAGATGTATGAAGTTTTTGCAGATTTCCTTACACAGATTTCCTTTCTTTACCATACTTACTCTTTTCAAAAGATGTATGTGGTCTTCAGAATTTACCGTGTTAAGTAAGATGTGGTGGTTTTGTGGGAAAATTAGTTGTTTATTGCATCTGCCTTAGATTAGCTAGCAACTAGCCTAAGGTGGTAATGACAGAGATAAAAGCACTAGCTGCTGCAGACCCTGCAAAACAGCGATGTACCATTAGTGAGCACAAACCCTGTCAATCCAGGGCAACAGGACCACAAAATGTGAAGAGGTGATCATTCCAGCATGACACATTTGTTTGCAAATCAACTCCCAGCTGAAGGCAGTGAGAGGAGAACAAGAAGGGATGCAAACAGGGAGGAGGAGAGCCCCTTCCAGAGGCCGTGTCCCTCAGGCCAAGGCTGTGCTTTCATCTCCCAAGAGGTCTGGAAATAAAGAGGGATGGGAGAGACAGCAGCAGAGCCGACAGCCTGCTGTCCGCATCCTCTGAGAAGGCAAACTTATGAGCACCGTAGCAGGTAGCAGGATTTTGGTTAAATGTGAAATTTGATTCTGGAAGAAGGTGCTTGTCAAATAGTCATGTAGACAGAAGCTTTTTTTTTATCTACAGATAGGATTCAATGAGGGAGAGACGCTGCACAACCCACATGGGAACGCTGTCCTGCCTAGACAAGCCATTTGAAGTTTCTTCCATTACCCGCCTCGAAGTATTTCAGCCCACGTAGCATCCTCCCTTTCTCGTCCTGCCCTGGGACATCATCTCACCTGCCTACAGCTTCAGAACCTTTGGCATCGAGGTTCATCTGGGGACTCACACTTCCTCTGGAGAAGGAAAAAACAAGGCATCTCCAGACACAGTCAGCAGCCATAGCAGGGTGAGCCAGATCTCGTCCTCCACACGCACTTCTCCTTAGCGGGTACCTTTTGGCAAGCCCACGCTCAGGGAACCACCCTGCTGTTCAAAAGCTTTGTCAGATGGTCTTGTTATTAGGATTGGGAGGGGTAAGGAGGGGTGTAAGGAACACAGAGGCACCTCTCTTGGATGTTGAAAGGAAATCTGGTGCTGCTTTGTTTAGAAAGAACAACATTGGGGTTTACTGGGTTTTAACATTCCCCAGTGTGGCAGAGACACAATGGTCAGTGTTCCTGTGGCCATGGCAGGCACTCGGTGGCTGTGGACGTGCTCCTCCGGGTCAGAACCTCCTCGGTTACAGCTGGGGAGCGGGGCAGATCCCCCAGGGCTCGGGGGTAGCCAGGTCCCATGAGTTTTGTAAAGCGTATCTTCACAGTGGATCAAGAGAGGCAAGGCACTGAGCTGCTGTTTCTCCAACAGCTGGAAGGCAAAGCCGGGAATTAAATCCCAAGTTTCAGTGCTGGGGCTATGCTTCATCAGAGGGCATTCAGGGTAAATCTGCTAACTTTGACAGTTATTTATGCGAGTTGGATACATTCTTTTGAGGTCTCCTTTTTATTGTGTATTTTGTTTACTTTCATTTTTATATGTCTTCAGGTTGTATGTGCTTATTCTGATTCAGGAAAATAAACACATCTTTTTCTGTATGTTCTATTATTGCAAGTTTTTATAATACATCTACTGTACAAGGCAATATTAGCAGTTCAATCTCCAGGTTGTTTGAGGGCTGATTTTTTTTTAAGTTAACACATCTCATGAGGACGCAACAGCAGTTTCAGATTTATTAATGGAACACTAATGGTCTTCACGATCCTTTTAAGCAAAACAAAAATGTATTATATTTTAGAAAAAGTGAGTATTGATTATATTACTGGCGTGACTCCATGGGGGAATAAAAGCACAATAAAATGCAGATCAAAGTGTATATATCCTGAATTCCTAATGCACTGCGAGGTGGCTGTGCAATTAATGCATGTGTAAGTCAAGACAGGTCAGGTGATTTTACAGCCTAGGTGAAATCCCAGCCCTTCTGGCTAGAATAAAACATGACATCATTTTATATTGCTTCAAGAAAATGGGACATCTGTCAATACAAATAAAGTCTACTGTTAGCACAAACTTTCAATGATCAGCATTTTGTCCTATAACCTGGAGGAACCAGGGGAAATACAGGATGATTTTTATCACAAAAACATAATCTGAAAATAGTTATTTTTATTCAAGTTTATAGTACTGTTCAGTCTAAGCAGAACCAAATGATTTTGAAATGGTTATAAAAGCAGACTTCTACTTTCTGTTGGAGAAGGGGCTGGGGAAAATACGTGATTATGATGGCAAGACAGTGCATTACATAAAAATAACTATTTTTTGGTCACTCATCATGAAGTAGGAGACAATGCAACAAAATTCACCCCAAGTCGGAAAAACAGAAAGTTATTCTGCAACAGCACAGAACCAAATAAACCCCAAACTCTGCTTTAGAGGGACTGATTTTACACTAAGTGTTACTACTCCCTCGCAGGCTCAGCAAAGCCCAGCAGAGGCAGTAAGGGAGAAGCAGTGCCGTGGAGCAGTTCGAGAGCTTGAAAGGGAGGTGATGGGAAAGAGAAGTTACGCATTTGGGCTTCTGCGTTTTTCCCCTTTAACAAGATAATGTTAGTAATTTTATTAAATAAATGCTGACTTAAGTCAACAGTGTTGCAGTTTTAGGATACCAGTTGTTCGTACCTATGGGCATCTTCGGATACATAGCGGAGAAGTTCTGCTCTAGTTTATGCTCCTGATAAAAGGGAATTAAATGCAAAGAAGTACAGTGGGAATACATCTGCATGTGGCAGGGTAAGAGGTCCTCTATACATGGGGAGCACCATGACTGAGGGAGCTGGCAGCTGCTCATGATTACTAAGCGACCAATATTCAGTCTGAAGTGAGAGGAGCCCACCTTTCCTTCCCAGGGGCTCAGCGAGGGGGTTGGCACTTGGAATGAGGCACTGGAGGTTAACATGCAAAAACAAGTGGGAGGCTGTGAATACCTGAACCATTATGCTTCAGTCTTACACAGAGCCACTCTCCCAACCATCAGTAGTTCCGTTCCTCTTCGAAGGCACACTCGAACCTGACTGCCCTCTATACCTTTGCTTCACATTTCTTGTCTCCATTGGAATTGTATTTATCTTCCTGGCATCGCCCTTCTTCCTTCTACAATTTCTGGCTTTTCAATGCTGTCCCCCATTCCAGGTACTCCTGGCTGCCTCTCAAATCTCTGCAACTACAGTATCAACATTCATGCGATGATTCATGTTCTGCCTCACTTCTTCTCCTCCAGTATGCTTCATCAGGCTGGCTAATTACAGAAGCTGAGCCTTTTGACTTCCAGGCCTCTAGACTGCATGCAATTATTCCTTTCAAGTATTTCTTAGAAGTGTGTGGAAAATAAGCTTTTTTTTTTTAATTAAAGCTGAGATTTCAACATAATGAAAGAACTTGAGAAGCCATTTTCAGAAAAAATTTCTGCAAGATAGTCTTTATTCTTATCTCTACTCACAGCCACTACACGTTTCCTTTCCTACTACTTTCTCCCTCCTTTTTTCCATTCCCTAGAAATCTGACACAGGGTATTTGTGGAAATGTATGTAAAGAAATTGTGAAGTCCTGCAAAAATGGCCATGAAATGTCACTGGACCACCAAGAAACAATGGGCAACGAGATAGCATAACAGAACATCATGAAAGCTTCAAGTTCTGTTTTTATTTAAACAGGAAATGAAATGCAAATCTCCTCTGAGGGTCTCATACTACTCAAATTGGACTTGAGTGCAATTAATGTTTCAATTATTATCTGAAAGTGCTGTTTCACAAGACAGGTTGAGCCAACCTGAAAGTCTACCGCCCCTCAAGAGGCTGTCCTGCCCCACCTTCTCCCTGGCCATGTGCTCCCACTGCTCACCTCCTGGCTAGCACTAGTCCTAGACAGTGGGAGAATTCAGCTCCCTGAACAGCACAACCACCACCAGCAACCCAAGGGAAAAAAAAAATCAAAAGAAAGAAAAAAAAAATTTACAACTCGGACAAGCATCAGTCTCAGCAAAGGGCTGGGACTGGGACCTTGTGGAGCAATAGGGTAGAGATGAGACAACACGACGAGCCACAACAGAGCTGAATAGCTGAGACCACCCGGAACCATTGTTTGCTCTGTTGATTTTTTTTGGCCAGATCAGCTCCTTGCTCTGATTTGTTGTGTTGCAGAAACAAATGACTAGGCATAGGAGAGTCAAAGGTCTCCAACCAGAAATAAACACAGAGACTGAAAAAGAGCAAGCCCCAAATATGAAGTTTTCCCAATCTCAAGGCAAGAATCACCTCTTGCCTCACCCATAGTCCCAGGTGCATGCCTGGTGCTATAACATTTTTACCTCCTACCAGTACAGTATTCCTGTAAGCGTCAAAACTAAGGCTCCATACTCATCAACAACTTACAAAAGGAAAGCCAAAAGATTTGCAAATTTATTTGACTTAAATTCTGTCCATTCAATAGCACCTATTAAATTTCCACAGCAACTGGGCTAAGAAAAGCATGAAATCTTGATGGGTTTCCTATGCACAGATTTTAAAAAAAAAGTTTCTGCAGCATGAATACGTAGTAAGTATTCAGAGCACAGTACTGAATTTGATTATGCTGTGCCAGAGATGTGCATTTATGAATAAAGCAAAGATTTAAAAAAAAACAAAAAAACCCAAAAAAACCAGCTAAAAAGCAAGGTGTAGGATATTCTTGCACTTTGTTATCACTAAAATTATCTCTAGTTCAATCATTTACTTTCTAGCTTCAAAAGAGGTTGTTTTAACTAGGGGGATGAAATACAGCCAGAATAGTTAGGATACTCCACCAGGAGAGGAAAACTGAGGTCTGGAGACCAAGGATGGAGCACACTGGGACATTTGGAGACACGCCATGGGTACAAGGACCTGTTAAAGCAGTCCCCACTCCTTTGCCCACACCATTTGCTAAACACTCTCAGATTGACAGGCCTCCTATACACATGTAGGAGCAGAAGGTCAGGTGCTTGCAATAAGGTTTTTGTCAATAACAGGGGTATCCATGGACAACCAGGTCCATGTGCTTGTTCCTTAAATGCCAGCCATTGTTAATTAGGTATGTGATCCCTCTTGTGAGCCTGGGCAGAGAACCCAAGCAGCATCAAAGGCTTTTTGTGCTACATGCAATAGAAATACCAGTGAAAAAACCAGTTTGTTCCCCAGGCAGCTCACAGTTTAATGAAAAACTACAAGCAAGCAACAATCAACTGGGAAGAAAGGAAAGGATGAGAAAGCCAGGATAACAGCTGGTCACACAAACAGCTGGATTTAGGGCTTTTAAGGCAAACAAAAATCAGCTGTTCTATTCCAGTTTTAGCTACGTTAGTTTTATTTTGCTTGACAGGTCTCAAAACAAATAGGTGAAGGGGGGAACTGTCCCCCTTGGGGGATGTCTCTAGTGGGCTACCCCAGGAATCTGTCCAGGTCCCAGTGCTTTTCAGATACTGTTTCTTTCACTTCACTGTTGGTAAAATTTGAAACAGTCACACAGTTGTAATAACTTAGACTGAAGCTGGTAACTTGGTATGGGGAACTCACTCAAGCTGCATGGTTTAACATGCCTAAATATACCATTAGGAACAAAGACTGCTGGTTATCTGCTCTGGCTCCACATTATTCCCAGTGTCACTCCTCTCCTGAACGCTATGTGCCACGCTGCATGCATGACCAATGGAGCAGACTCCCATGCAGAAGAAAGTGGTCAGGCAGAAAGAGAATGATGGTGTTCCTTCTACGGACAGTATTAGGAAGACCGTTGCTGAAACACCGCATCCATTTCCACTGTCATGCTTCAGAAAGGATGTTTACCACAAAATTTTATATGAAGACAGAAACTTATACCATAGTGGTAACAGCTGTAGAGATAATCTCAGTCCATTTATCTAAGAGAAAAGTAAGGGGTGACTTGACTCAAAACTACAGGTGATAGAGGTCCTTAACCTAAAAAAGATGTTAAAGACATCACTGGCTGCGATCTGAGGTTAGACCACTTCAACTGATGACCTTTTGGAACAATTTACTTACCAACATAGTGGCTTCTTCATCACTGAACTCTTTACATGAATCTTCTTCTCAAAGCCAAGCTATAGCCCAAAGAAATATTATAAAGCAGAACTTACTGTCATGGAAATCATCACACTAGATAATCCTTTTTAGTATTAATACCTATGAATTACTATTATTTCCATTATAAATTAACTATATTCTTCCAGGCATCATCAGATAAATCATGAAACTTGGACCCCAAGGTGACATGCAGATACAGCAAAGCAGCAAGAATGCAAATGTGTAAAACAATAATTTAGCCCACCAAACCTCTACAGCAGGAGAAATGCACAAGTAACAAAAAAGAAAGAAAAAAAAAGAGAAAAAAAAAAGACAAAAAAGAAAAAATACAAAAAAGCACAAAGAGCAACAAGAGCAAAAAGGAAAAAAAAAAAAAGAAAAAGAAGTTTCATTTTTATCCCTGCAAACAAAGCCAGGCCACCGCCTCTACCTGTATAAAAGCTGAAAGAAAAAGAAGAGAGAGAAGGAAAGAGATACAGCCATGGACGCATCCAAGAATTTTATTTCGAAAGTTCTGTTTCATTGTGAATCAACACTTTTCATTACCCTGGCACTAGGACTTTAAGACTGAGCAAGTATGGCACTTCAATTCTATGACAGTCTGCTAATGTATCCTTTTTCCAGCATAAAGCTCTGGTTGCTTAGTAAAATTTTACCTGCAACTTTACTTCCCTTTATTTGGGCAGAGGGAGAAATTTGGAACAATAGGCATAGCTACAAGTACCTTTATGGTGAAGAGGCTTCTGACAGCTGAGGCACTCTGGTCTAGGAGACTCTTCTGCTGCACAGTTAGCTCACGTCAGCTATAGAAATAGCATGACCCAACAGAAAAGGTTTGCTGCTCGCTCTTTTTTAGAAACAAGTGTTTGTGGTTTTTAAGTGTTTAATGTATTTTAACTAAGTTGAGTAACTTAAATACCTAAGGTATTTTATTTATCATACATCATTGTGTTTTTTAACTCATTCTACATTTAAGCAATTATTCTGTGGAGATCTGTTTTCCTGGTAGGACTGAAAATGCCATCACATATAAGAGTTTCCTCCAAGCTACCAACAGAATAATTTGCATTTCCCTGTCCAACAATCTGAAACTACTTTCTTATAAAAATACTTACTCTTTAAAAGCTTTGCTCATTTCAATCTTAAAAGATTCCTGAGATAATGGGCACTTGTTTTTTTCTGAGACTGCCCTAAAATATTTGGCCAAAAATAGCATAAGCATTATTAATGCAAACAGCAAGCTTGTTGTTACAAAAGGTTTTATTATGTCCATCTGGGTAAAACCTTCTTTTCTGTTCTGGTGACAGTCCGTCACCACACATCTCAGACAGTCACATGGTAGTACCAGCTGTGGCTGAGGGCTGTTCACTTTCCACCTCTGACGGGACGTCTGTTGGGCTTGACTGTCCCTGAAGCCCAGACTTCACAGCGTGCATTGCATAGTTAACACTCGTGCTTTCCATCCAGCTCCATGACCCCGAGAGGGGATTATACAACATCCCATTCACAGTCTTGACTGACAAGCCATCTAGGAAAGAAAGAAGCCATAAAGCAACCCATGTTCTTAAATATGGTAAGTCACTGCAACATCAAACCCTTTAGAACAGCAAGTCTGAAACACGCCTCTTCCTCTGAGCTAGGAATCAGTGCTTCACGAGCTGGCCTTTGTCAGACACCACCACAAGCAGTGGCAACAGGCATCACTGGTGACAGTGGGTCCTGCTGTTGGCAGCAGCACGCTATATGGTGAGCCACTGCAAAGTGGTATGCTAGAAACCCTAACTTCACAACATCACATTTGGGTGACTGGTAATGTTTTCTGTAGGTGGAGACATTCTTCAGATCGACATCACGCACTTCAAAATCACAATCTGAGCATATCTTTGGAAGGATTCTGTAGATTTCCCTTAGGAATGGAAAATACAAGAAAGAGGCAGAAGAATGCCATCAAGGATGCAGTGCAAGTAGAGTGATTTAGCACTCCCTGCTGAGCAGATCTCAGTTCACTGCGTGGCTATGCTGTGTCCCAGCAGGGTACATGAGGGAAGGCAGAAAACAAACACTCCATCAAAACAAATCACTCCACTGCACCTGCTTCTCCTTTTGAAGGGAGAACAGAAAGAACCACCAGCATGTGAACCAGTATTACTCATGTTCCTTACAGCATCACTGCAAAGTGCCAGGAAAAGACCTTGCCAAGAGAACAGCTCAACTCGCACTTCAGCTTCTTTACAGTGAACTAAAGCACAGTGAAATATTTGGTGACAGGGCTTTTAAAACATCTGCATGCAAGGAGGGCAATGGGCAGAACTCTTCCCAGCTCTGTGGTTTGTCCATTTTAAAAGCAATCAAACCAGGGCAATTTAATTATTTTTTTTAAATCAGTATCATACAGTTTCTCAAGAAATGACCAATGGATTTGTGGTAGGTTTCATCTTCACATTTTTTAAGAAATCTTTTAGCAACGTTAATATGAATAAAGAACATGGGGCAGCAACCAAAAATAAAAACACCTTCTCCCAAGGGAAAGATGACAAACAATGCAGTGGCAGCAGTGCAGCTCTGGAGTGCCAATACAGTTGAGTGCCAATACAGTTATTTTCTCAAACCTCACCTACAGCATATGAACCACTTCAGAGCATACATTCCATCACCAGAACAGGATGGAAAACCTTGGAATTTTAATTTAGGCTACCAAACAGAGGGCAGCTGTAACAGTGATTTTGTTTGAGTAATCTCTGCATTCTTAGGACTCCACTTAGTTATTTTATGCAAAATCCAGTAAGCGGTAGTGTCTTTAAACCAGAAATGATACTCATAATTTATGACTGGTAATTCACATAGGAAAAGCTGTGTATTGTTCCTAGCACTGACCCCACCTAGCTTATCCCCTTGCCATTTCTACAGGGATCATTTTGGCATCTCTCTGCATTCCCTTCATCTAGTCTGGAACTTACTTGATTCCAGGAGGCGCTCCAGCTCTTCTGGGGGAACAAACTTCTCCCACTCATGTGTTCCTTCTGGTACAATGCCCATTATTTTTTCTGCAACCACAATTCCCAGGACATAGGACAACTGTGTCTTATTGATTGTAGTAATGAATAAAGAACCTTCAGGCTAATTAAAAGATTAAGTGTTCAATTAGAAGAATATTTAATTTTTTAAAAAATTGTAAATTTAATCATATTAAAACACATAGTTTGTCTATCTACAAGTCTACATGCTGCAAGAGTAAGAACTAATTTCATCCCAGGACAGGTATTTACAAGTATGCCATTTAAATACAATAAAGAATATAATGTTGTAACAGTATGACTCAGTAGTCCTCAAACAGTCAACCTAATCAAAGCCTTGGGTGGTCTGAAAACCATTTCCTTGCCCCCAAAATATCTAACAAAGTCACTTATAACATAACATTGCCCAGGAAATGGATTAATAAAAGGTATTAAGGTATATACGATACCTACTGTAAAAAGAAACACTTTTTTAAAATTAAAACCGAAGTAAAATATGCAATACTGCCTAATTTTTGAGACTGCTGAATGCTGTGCTTGTTTTAATGATTACAGGGTCAAAAAACAAGCCAGAAATTAATTCTAAGTACTTAAGACACTCTTTGGTAGAAATAAAGCATAATTTCTGTGTCCCCGGCAGGCTGAAAATTAGTTAAGCGTTCCATTCAAATAATCTATATTCCTTCTGATGACCAGGAAGATAAATTAAGAGATTAAAGGAAAGCTGCTGCTGCTTGTGTACTGAGCCTACCAACCCTCTTTACAAATGAAATAATATCAAGAGAAATAAACCACCCAATTAACTCCAAGCATAACTGTGACCCTTTAAAAGCAATCCAGGAGCACATCTGATGTGATGCTAGAGCTAGAATAGAATCTGGTGAGTCAGAAACATCATTACAATCAGTCTCAGTGCAGTCTGAGCCATAGCCATCCAACAACAGCAGCACTGCCATGTTTTCTCTCACCTAGGTGAAATCAGATGCAACCAGATTTCTTAAGGTCTTGATGCAAAGGAACACTGCAATGCTAGGTAATGCCATTAACACTTTTCTAAGGCAGGGTTGAGGAAACAGATTTCCTCTAACTTCAATTATTGAAGTTGGGAAGATGTACTTGCATCATGGAGGAGAATGGAAGGCACTTCTAGAGCATGGTTCAGACTTCAAGGTGGAGAAATGAATGCAGGTGTAAGTGTTTTCACATTCCTTCAAATGAAAGCCTTAATAATAAAAGAGAATAAATATTCCCAATAATGAAAGCAAAAACTCTCTTACCTTTAAGACCCGAGAGCAACACTTGATAAACATTTCAAGGTCAGCCACATGCTCCACTACTTCAGAAGCTACAATTACATCAAAGGTTTCCATAGATTCTTCCACAATCTCCTCCAGTGAACTGGACTTGTACTGTATTCTCTTGGCCAGGACCGGATCAAATGACTTGTGCTGATCTGCTGTTCTAATGTTGTCCTCCAGAGGATCAATTCCAGTAACCGAAGCTCCCAGTCTACCTAAAGGCTAATAATACAGAGTATAATTTATTCTCTGCATGAAAACAATTTACTTAAAGTTTGTGTCTGCAACTTTGCAAGGAACATATATGATGCGGAAAACAGCCATCAGAGAACAAGACAACAGTAAATGATGAGCTCTGATCTGGCAGTTTTATTTTAAATGTTTATTAAAGCAAGAAAACCCTTAGATTTGGGGGAGGTGGTGTTAATTTTCTTAGAAAATTATATACTGGAATATACACATTTAAATTGTCTTTTAGAATAAATTGTTCTGAATCCATTTTGTTACACCAAATAAAGATTTCCTCCACTATTACCCTCTGACAGAGGAAAAACAAAGGGGGAAAATCAACACAGTAGTTTAAAGGGGGGAAAACAATGCCGTATTTAATTACTGTCATTACTTTCTTCAACATCCACCTGTAATGGTAAATCCTCATATCTTTTTAATGGTTACTTAATATATGATTATCTCCGTGACTTTCTCACTGCTGAGAACTAAACACTGATGTTTACTAGGATAGCATCAGGCTTGGCTGTCACTCAAGTTTCTCCAGTGTCTTCTTACTCATAGGTTAACACCTCAGCCATCACCTCTTTTGAAACTGAAACAGGCTGCAGAACATGACCACATGTATGTTATTCCAACCTGAAATTCACCGGTTGTTCAGCCTGAGAAGGTGATGCAGCACACCAGTTTTGCCAGCCTTGTCGGAGAGCATGCTTTCATAAGGCTACAGGATTTTGCTCAGAATAAAAGAAATAAAAAAAAAAAAAAAAAGAAAGAAAAGAAAACACGGGGAGAGATTCGGGTCCCTTTGTAACACCTCGTTTCAGATGCTGATGAAATTCGCAGAGTAAGTCAACCAGATCTGTAATCCTAAATTCACAAGCCATCCCTCGTCTGTTGATAGGATACAGCACTGTTCAGAGCCTGTGTGACCAAATGGTTCCACCACAAATAGTTACTTCTTAGTCCCAAGGTTGTGCAGACTCCTCGGGAAGCAGCTGTAACATCAGCAGGTGTTTGACATTATTCCGTGCTTTTCCCATGAAATCAAAGCAAAGGCAAAAATCTCCACCCCCAATACAAAAAAACCTGAAGATAAGCACTTCAAAGAAATTAACATGTAACAACAAGTTTTGTAATAGAAAATACTTCTTTGGTAATGAGGATTGTCATGATTAAAGTATTCTTGTGAAGGCTTGTAAATTAAAAAAAGAAAAAAAAAAAGTAGTCATACTGTGACTGCCCAGAGGAATACTTGAAGACTTTTACATCATCCTTCCCCTCTCCTTTTCTTTACAGTGTTTGGAATCTTATTTTTCTGATGAACCTCAGAATTTTAGAATTTCTCATTACCAACTCCCTCCTTTTCTGTAAACCATCACTACGCTAAGCTAATATTCTATGGGTTTTATAGAATGCACTGCACCTCAAAACATTCCGTAACTAATATATCATAGAAAAGAAAAGCTCCTACTTAGAGGATTAGAAATTAAGCAGTGTAAAACAATTCAAAGACTTTGTACGCTTTTTAACAAGAGAAACCAGAGCACACTGTTTCTTACCTCACTTAGCAGTCCACCACCACAGCCAACATCGAGAATCTTTACTCCAGAAAGTGGATTTCCCAGATGATAATTACTACTCATGTTCAACAGAGTATCTCTGAAAGAAAAGGGATGTGATTAAGGGCAAATATACAAGGTGGTTTAGTAGATGCAATAAGCAGTTATCTTAAGCACTGGTAATTGTTTTTATTTTACGATGTTTTCTGAGATTATCCAGAAATAGTACATATTAAAAAAAAAAAATCTGTCTTTAAAACCATACCTAATAAATGGCACTCTAATATCATTCATAGAATGAAGGGCTGAATATTCTCCTTCTTCATCCCACCACTTATGCGCGAGACGCTGGAATTTTTTCATTTCCTTTAAATCCACTGATGGGTGTGAAGTGCTGAAAAGTCTCTTCAAAGTGAGCCTAAATAATGAAAGCTGAATGTCATGAAACTAATACCGATATTTCACGTCAGCTGAAATATGGGAAAAACAAATTCTGCATCAGAAAATTAAAAACAAAAATAAACTCATGTTCCTTTAGAGACTCTAGTTATACTTGATTAATAACAAGCAGATTTTATACACTGTATATGTAACGTATCTTCCAAAACAGATGGCTACATACCTGTAATTTTTAAGTTAGTAATTAATAAAACAAAAATAGGCCACATCAGACATTTAAACATTTGTGAGATTTAAAAATGACTTCATGTGACACTGTCACAAAGTAAAATTAAATTGTTATAGAAAATTATAGTCCTTGTCACGCAGGATTATTTTAGACACAATACTTACATGCTGCTTTTTATTTCAGTCAGAGAGACAGGCAGAGTACTACTGGATTTCAGCTGTGTTTTCCAGTTGCAGTGCTGAAGGGTACCTCTCAGGCCTGTCTGATCAGCATGGTCATCTGCATAAATAAAAGAAAGGCAACCGAATGGAAAACATCAGCTTTATGAGAGCTCACAGGCAACAAACCCAGTTTAACAATGCCGCTCTAGAACAATATTAAGCAAATCTTTAGACATTTGCTCACCATCGTACTTAGGCAGTGCATGGGGATTAAATAAAAGAGCACATGCTAGTCCATCACGCCAGTACTTCTCAAATTATGCGCGATAACATTTTTCAGAGCCTGAATGAAAAGGAACTTTTCATGCAGCTGAAATGTTTCAGTTGGTGAGAATTTCACCGAAATATTTACTCTGACCACAAGCGGTGCGTACACGCACACACTTCATAGCTGTCAACAGCGGGCTCCTATTCCCGCTTCGTTACATACTGGAACAAGAAACAGAGAGCTGCCCGCTCGTTTCGTACTGTATGAATTGGTAAGGGAACACAAGTGAGAAAACCCCGCGGACGGCGCAGAGACAGGCCAAGGCCACCGTCTCGAAAACCGTTCCCCACCCCCGCTCTGCCAACCTACGGCCCGGCCCTCCCAGGCCTCACGCGCACCCACTCGCCATCCAGCTGCCGCCCAGGCCTCGGCAACGCCGCACCGCGCCCAGAGTAGCGGGCCCAAGGCGATTTTAGGCCGCGGTGAGCGGCGGGGAGGTCTGCAGGGGCCTCTGGGCCGAAGGGCTGGCGAAGGAGGTGGCAGGGGGACACGTCTCCCCTGGGAGAGCTGCTGGATGCGCGGCGAGCCCACCAGGACCCGACGGGCTGTGGTGGGGCCGGCTCGGCCTTCCCCGCGCGAAGGCAGGGCAAGCGGGCGAGGAC